ATACCTGGAATGTAACGCATAATGTTTATTAAACCGGAAAGGCCCTGTGGATTTAGATAATAATTTATCGTCATGATGTAGGTCCTTATTCTACACAGCAATGCCCGACGTTTTCCAGCTCCAAACCTCTTGGAAATGTGGCATAAATTGTTCTGGATTGAACCCTCTAAAGAGACCGGTCGTACCAGGCACATTTCTCATCATAAGTTCAGCCGCAAGACGTCCACTGTTGGATATAGGCAGGTGTATACATAAAACTTTTTGATACTTATTATTAACTGCCTCCGTGGAATGGTTACCATGCCGGACTGCCACGTAGACGTCTCAGGTTCGATTCCCGGACCGGGAGAAATATTTGTATGGCGTACATTTATTTCTCGTGAGTTTGGGTGTAATTTGTGATTGTCTATGTGTGTGTCCATGGCACCCGCGACACAGGGTTTCCCTAGTGCGGGGCTATGTTGAGTGTGTGTGCGTTATATTTATTTATTACTTATTGGGGTAGGCAGAGATCAATCGCTACTTTACATGACCCTGACAAAAATGTCTTGCTAACTTACAATCATCATTTTGTCATACAAGTCTTCTTATACGTCTCCAGCTTTGTTGTTGTTTTTCAGGGGGAGTTATTTACTCTAGGTCCACGTTTTTCCAAAGTCCACAGAAGAAGAACTTTAAATTTTAGCTTTTGCGTCCGTGTCATTTTTAAACCACGACCGTACAACCAAACCTGGTTGATATGGGGCGTGGTCGCGGACTGTCCATTTAATAAAAAGCGAATTGCGCAATCGAATTTGTTCAATTTTATAGTGCAGAGGTGAGTCCCGACTCTTATCGAATTTACTCGCGGACTCTAGGTCAGAGGCCCTAGAGTCGTATTCTAGAACTCTACTCAATGCTCAAGTCAGGATTTCAGCAGACTTGAGTATGATTTCAAGCACTGGAAATACGACCCTAATAGCAAGGACTTGAGTATGATTTCTAATGCTTGACAAGGCCTGACTTGAGCATTGAGTAGGGTTCTAGAATACGACCCTTAGTGTAAATTTGTAATCATCAAAGTTAACTACCGCGTTTACGTTAAGATTTTTATGTAGATCTTAATTATATAATTTACAAGGTTTAAATTAATATTTTAACGTAAACGCGATTTTTAAATTTACGTATTTGTAATCTTAAACCAGGGCCTCAGGAAACGTCCGGATAGTTTCGGCACATGTGCTTTTCAATCCAAGGTCGTAAGCAAAAACTTATTGTAAATGCGAGAAAAGTCACGCGTACCATCCATGTGTAACGATTATACATCATTCTGTCATCTAATTTGCCACGTGCGTTCGTCGTTGACGCCCGACGTCAAAACGAATTAAAATATGAAGCTTTCCTCAATTGCGTAATATCCAACTCGGTTTGGATTCGGATGGCCTTCGCGAAATTTTTATACATTTTTGTAATCTCTAGGTCGAGTAGTTAAGGACACTGTGTTTGTAAGTTGACTTTGAAATGTGGTAACTTATGGGATAATTCAGTAACTTCACGATTATTGTGGTCGTGTTTTTGACGTTTTGATCCGAGGAATAGTTGCATTTTTGGCTCATGAAGAAATTTCAGGCAATACACAAGAGTATAGTTCTGCCGCCCGCTGTTAGTTGAAAGGGCGCACGTGACATTTTTTCAAAAATTTTGTTGTGTACTGTAAAAAAAGCTCACTGCCGTGATCAGTAAAAAAAGGCCGATTTTTGAGTTGTTGTCACAATTGCCCTTTTCAATAAGGACGGCAGAGTTGTTGATCATTGCGTTGAGAGTTGTCTAGCTGGGCATAGCTATTGATTAGGTTAATAAACTGACAATTTGAAAGATTCAGTTTTTTTAGTAACTCGTATGACTTATTTGGGAAATTTTAAAAAAGGTATTTTCTTATAGTCAAAGTCAAATAATCAAACAGTTTTTAATTGTTTTCGAATAATTTTCAATTGTAATAATATCATTCGTTGAATTACGGGAGTCACCACAAGTGACCCCTGGGTGGTGCTAAAGAGCAATAACTACTGGTGG